ATGAGAACCACCAGTGAGAAACACAGGTTAATGAGATGCTTAACATGCACACACAAAGGACCAAAAGAACTTTTTACAAGAAGATATTTTACAAAGTTCCTATAAAGTATTAAGCAGTTGTTCCCAAAGGCTGACCCGGTGACCTGTCTGGGCCAACTGCTTAAGATTCACCCAGGAGGATGTTAAATAGAAATACCGAAAGGCCCGGCACTGGAGATTAGGAATCAGCAGGTCTGAGGTTTGGTAGCCACCGATTGAGAGTGTAAATCAATCTCCACAGCTTGAGTCAAAGCTTCATAAGCTCATATATAAAAGACATGGAATGCCAAATTTGCAACCTATGTGAGTCTCTAGAATTTATACACTGATTGATATGTTTCAAGAGAAGTATGATAAGATTTTGCAGTGCAAGTTATGTCCTGATGGGAAAAAAAAAGATGAAAGCCGAGGTCTGAGCGTGCTGGTCTGCTCACTGACAGCCTGCAGCTACCCTGCAAGAAGTGGACTGCCTCTTCGGAACATGCGCCTGCAGCCCTTTGGAGGGGAGGGGGGCTTTGAAAAGATCAGGCCTTACAGGGCAGGTAATTTATTTCATTTGCACCTGATTTATGCCCCATTCAAAAATGAAACAAAACAAAAATGATGAAAAATGACTCGCGGAGAAACAGAATGAGCACTTCAGTAATTCTCTCTTCCTGAAGCACAACGAGCCATTTCCCTTCCTGGGAATAAAAGTGTGAAAGGGATGGATGTAAGTGAAACCCCCCTTAGGTTGTGACTTCCATCAATCTTTGGGGCTCTCAAATGCCACTTTTCCCACACAGGTACAAATCTCCAAATGCATCTGTGGTCAAAGTCACCCCTACACTGGACCCTGCACATTTGCAAATGTCAGTACATTCCAAGCAAAAGTTTTCTTCTTACAACCGGCCAGGAGACCACCTCTCCTTTCATGCAAAAATTTTCTTTCCCATTGCTCTCTGGCTCTGTGCTATCTAATCTGGTAACCGCTAAGCATGTCTATTCAGCATTTGGAATGGCCCCAGCTAGTTAGTATGTTCTAAGTTTAAAAAAAAAATGCACCAAATATCAATGATTCAGTGTAAAACATATTAAACTATGATATCAATAAATATAATTCTAAAACTGAAATTAATTTTTAATCATTTGGACAATGTTTGAGATATATGAAGTTAAATAAAATATATATTTTTAAATTAACTCTACCCATTTCTTTTGACTTTTTAAAACGTGATTTTTAGACTAACACTTACATATTATAGTATAGTGCATTACCATCCTATCAGGTTAATTTTCTCTTCTATTTGAAGAGATTTGTCTTTCCCACTTCTATCATGAATTTTTACATTTTTCAGTGAAGAAAACATAGCTGTATATTACTCACTTTCCAGACATTCCAGTTTGGCCATGGACTCATAGAGCTATTATTTCTGATTGATACCAAATATTGATTTACTCATTCATTCAACTGCATTCACTGGATACCTCTTGGCGGCCAAACTTTGGTCTAGTCTGAGGGGTCACCTAATGTCAGCACATAATCCTCCAATGATATGTACAATGATGTCATCAGTCTACGTGGATGCCACCCCCATGCCGAGATCCAGAAGGAAACTCTACTTGCAAACACCCTTTTGTGGAAAGAGTTCAATGCTGTGCTCACATAACACAAGTTTTCCGGCTTAGAAACTTGAAACCTCCTGACTCCATATTAAACATTTCCCCTCTCCCACACTTTGTATTTTCCCTTGTGTTTCCTTGACTACCCTATAAACTTCATTTGTCTTTGTATTCCTCTTTCCTTTGCTGACACAGTATTAAATGCCATGTGTGTCTCAGTGTGTCTGTTTATATATATTCATTTACTTCTCACAATAATGTAGAAACCATTGGTGTTTCCATTTAAAGATAAGGAAAATGAGGCAAGGGGAACTTAAGCAACTGACCTAAAGCCTCACAGGTAATAAGTGAAGAAGCGAGATTTGAACTTCAGCCTCATTCTAGAGCCAGAGTTCTTAATGGCTAGGTTAGACTGTCTCAGAAAAGGTGCAAACCCCAAGGACCCTGAAAACTTGAAGCTGCTGGGCTCACCTGGTGAGCTGCCATTGAAAGAAGTCACCCCCAAATGAAGTTTACATAGGAAAAAGGAAAACTGAAGGAAAAAGAAAGAAGAGACAGAGAAAGAAAGAGAATATAGCAGAGAGAGGCAATATGAGAGACATCATGAAGGAGATGTTACTGATCATTTTTTTTTAAAGATTTATTTATTTGTGCATACAGAACTGGGGTACAGGCCAGAGGCTCAGGGGCAGCGAGAGGCTTCACCAGAGACAGAGTGGGGAACAGAACAGGCAGATCGACGAAGGACACTGCTGAGGGGATCAGCGGGCGGGCCAGGAGAGGTCTGCCACGCCATGTGGTTACCTCCGGGGCAGGCGGGAATCGAACTCATGTGAAAGTGGCTTTAGATTCTCAGTGTTGTGCTTTAACCCGCTGCGCCACCAGGGAGGGCAACACAAAGCTAGAAACTATCTTGGGTCTTCTGATTTACACAGGTGATAGGGTCTTATCATTGTAGCTATTGGTTTTCTGTAGTATCTTTTACAGCTTACCATTTATCTCACTTAGAAAAGTAGCCAGCTGTACAATATAATAGAGAAGAGATTTCAGCATTCATTTAGTCTGTCCTGTCCATTCCCTGTCACCTGTGGATTAGTGTCCAGGGATCATCTTACAATGTTCTATTTCTGTTGCAAAGTCAGTTCGCTCTATGATTGTGGAATTTTATCCAATAAATATATATTTTTATAGATTTATTATTATTTTTTAAATATTTATTTATTTATTCATTCCTATAGAGCTGGGGTACAGGCCAGAGATGCAGAGGGTGAGAGGATTCACCAGGGACAGAGTGGGGAGCAGAACAGGCAGATCTACGAAGTACACTGCCGAGGGGGGCAGTGGAAGTCTGCTGCGCCATGTAGATCTCCTCTGGGGCAGGCGGGAATTGAACTCATGTGGAAGTGGCTTAAGCTTCATAGTGCAGTGCTTTAACCTGCTGCGCCACCAGGGAGGGCCCAATAAATATTTTTTTTATACAGATCAAATGCCATCAAATATCCAGTTCCCTTCTCTTTTAGGGCAACTGAAGGATTGTATTTTCCCTCCTTTCGAAGTTAGGCAAGGGCATGTGACTAACTCCAATCAATGAATGCCATTTTCATGAAAACACTGATATAATAAAAGAGCTATCAAGCCAGAGTAACTGCTACATGCATTTCAAGAAATATTCTATTCTCTTTTAGTGCAATGAAATGAGCAAAGATTTTGAAATTGATTATGGTGACATTCCTATTGACTCATCAGATTGTGAGCTGACCTGGTGTAGAACTCACACATGACATACTCACTATATATTTGCTAAGTGGATAAACAAACTACTGAGACTCATAATTTTAATATCATAGCTTGTTTAAAGTATTTTTAGTTCTCTTCTAAGTTCATTTCCACACTTCACTAGTTTTGAAATATTACCCTTAAGAGGAAAATACAATTTAATTTATTCTTGCAACAATATCTTGGCTTTTCAAAGAAGGCTAACACAGAATCTAGGAAGAGAGTGACAATGCGCTTTGTTTTCTGTTTTTGAGCCCCATAAAAAAAATGTACAGAGAATATAGAGATCTTGCACCTGAATATGATTTGTGACTTTCTTCTCTTTCTGTTTGGATTTGGTGACTTGAGGCTGTAGTGAATCACATACATATGTCCCCAAAGTTCATATATTGGAGCCCTAATCCCCAATGAGATGTACTTGGAGGTGGAGTTTTCGGAAGATAATTAGGTTTATATGATTTCTTAAGGTGGGGGGCCCAGATGAAAGAGAGCTTCCGTTCTCTGACATGTAAAGATAGCACAAAGGTGACTGTCTTAAAGTCAGGAAGTAGGTTTTCACCAAGAACAGAATTGACTGGCACCTTGATCTTGGACTTCCTAGCCTGAAGGACTATAGAAATAAACTTTTATCATTCAGTCTTGAATTTTGTTATAGCAACCTGAGATAAGACAGAGGCTAAATTCTCTTTACTTCTCTTAAAAATGTAGTATTATTTGTATGTCATAGTCACCTTCCCTGGCTTTCAGCTACCAACCTAAGATTTTGCAGTGTCTTTAGTCAAATTAAGTAACATGCCCATTCAGTGACCGTTGTGACTCATCAAGCATTTCCTAATTGTGGCAAAAGGGCTTATTCAATCACCATTGTTGCATTACACTGGTTAAGCTCCCATTCTTGCATTTTATACAATGCACATAAAGGGATATTTTCACTGCATTCCAAGAGCTTCAAATTTGAAAGAAGATAAAGTTCAGTAACTCAGGCACAATTTTAAGTTATCATAAGTATGCTTGAGGTTATGTTAAAACCCACACGCTTTTTTTTTTTTTCCTTTTAGGAAATAGATTTAATACATCACCCTGTTTTGCATCTCCTTTTAAAAACAGATGTTTCTTCCTAGAAATGGGGAATTTTGCATTGACAAAAAATTATAGGAATAAATTTGTTAAGCATCATTTGAAAACTGTGTTGGAGGACTTACACTAAAATGCTGACAATTAAATTTCAATCTGTTAATATAAAATGCCAAAGAAAGTTGGCTGTGATAATACTCTAGATAAACTTGAGTTTTTACATTATTTTGATAAATTTATCTCATCTATCAGCCTGGCCACAAATCATAACTTATGGTTGTCATGTGATAGCAATAAAATATTATATACCTTCAGATAACCTCTACACAAAAATGCTTTTCACTGTTCACATTTTATCTGTCAAATAGTATTTTCTTTTAGAAGTTAATATAAATGCCATTATTAGGAGAAGCTACCGGCCTAGGACAAGTTCTAGCATTTAGTGTTCTGACAGATCTTAATTTGGATATCAGCCAAAGTCAATAAAACTTGTTCATGCAGAACCTTACCTGGTTTTCACCACATCGAGGGGGTGCATCAAGCAAATTTCTACAAGACCTGAAAGATGATAAAGAAAAGTCCAATAAACACTTATGTAAACACTGGTTCTTATTTCCCTGACCTCACTGATTTCTCAAGTATGATGATTCAAAAACCCAACTTGGAACTTTGGACATGACAGCTAATGATCATAGACCAGTGGCAAAAGACAAAGACATAATGAGATTTTTCTTTCAGTGGGAGCAAGATAGGTAAGTGAGTAAATTCTTGTAACAGCTCAGACACAATCAGGAGCTTGGGGCTACAGGAGCAAGAAAATGGGGGAAAAAATCAGATGTCCTAAATCCCATTTAACAGGAATTACTGTATCCCAATCCAGTCCAATAAATAAATAATGGGAAAGAAGGGAGAGCAGAAAAGAAAGAAGGAAAGAAACCCAATTCCCCACCTCCAACACAGAAAGACATTTGCTAACATGGTAAATCACGTTTCTCAGTTTCAGTATTCATGAAATAAAGACATTGATGCCTCCTATCTCATCAGACAGTGATGAAAATTCTATATATAGTGAAGCACTAACAGCTCATAGAAAGCATGTTTAAGTGTTTATTGCATTTTTCAGTGCTTATAAGCAGTACTTAGATGATCTTACTTAATCTTCATAAAGGCTGTTTGTGATAGCAGGTATTATATTCCTATTTTACAGCTAAGATAATTGAGGCAGACAAGGTTAAATAACTTTTGTAAGATCTCAAAGCTAGAAAGTAAAGTCCTTGTCCTACCAAACCCATGATCTTAACTGCATTTTGAGAAATTTTCTACAAACTTCTTGAAATCAATTTAAAGCCCTCTTTCCTATTGCTAACCGAGCAGAGGTGATTTCTCTGTTACAAACTACTTGTATGCCATATCAAAGTTTTAGTGGAATTCTCCAAAGAAACAGAGCAAACATTATTGAAACCTATATGGAAACACAAAGACCCTCAATAGCCAAAGCAATCCAGACAAGAAAAAAAAAAAAAAAAGGTAGAAAAATGGAGGTATAAGACTCCAGACTTCAAAAGGCTACAGTGAAAAAAAAAAAAAACAGTATGGTATTGGAATAAAAATACACAGACACACACCAATGGAATAGCTTTGAGAGCCTAGAAATAAAACCACATTTATGTGTACAGTTAATCTTTGACAAAGAAGTCAAGAGTACATAGTGGAAAAAGGAAAGTTTCTTCAACAAATGTCCTGGGAAAACTGAACACCCACATGCAGAAAAATGAAACTAGAGCACTCTCTCACCCCACACACAAAAATTAACTCAGAAGGATTAAAGACTTGGATATAAGATTGGAAACCATAAAATACAAGGAAGAACACAGGAAAAGCACTCCACAGCACTGGCTTCAGGGATGTCTTTGGGGACCCAACTTCAATGGCAAGGAAAACAAAAGCAAAAATAAATGAACAGAACTATATCAAGCTAAAAGGTTTCTATGTGATGAAAGAACAAAAGACTCTACTGAATGGAAGAAAATATTTACATATTATATATCTGATAAGGGTCTACGATCTAAGCTATGTAAGGAATTTATACAATGCTCAAAACTACCCAATTAAAAAAAAATTACCAGAAGAACTAAATAGGCACTTCTTCAAATAAGACAGACAGGTGGCCAGTAGGCACATGAAGAAAAATTCATCTTCACTATTATCAGAGAAATTCAGATCAAAAGCACAATGAGATACTACCACACTCTAGTGAATTGTTCATATGAAAAAGCCCCTAAACAACAATATTGGTGAGGGTGTTAAAAAAAAAAAAGGAACCCTCATACACTGTTATCAAACTATAGCCTGGTTCTGCCCCTATGGAAAATAGAGTGGCTCTCAAAATCTTAAAATATGTATACCATATGATCCAGCAATTCCATTCCTAGGCATTTACCCAAAAATACAAAAAAAAAAAAATCACTAAGTCAATGGGATATATGCACTCTGTGATCATTGTAGCAATATTTACACTAACAGCCAAATCATGGACATAACCTAGATGTTTATTGACAGAGCAGCAGATTAAGATGTAGACAATGGAATACTATTCAACTATATAAAGAAAAGGGTGAACTCTTGCCACTTGTGATAATGCAGGCGGAGCTGAAGGGCATTATGCCAAGTGACATAAACTGCAAAAGATGGACAAACATCAGATGATTTCACTCATAGGTAGGATATAGAGGGGGCCAAAAAACAGGTGGGTTACTTCCAGTATGGTCTCAATGTATTTCCCTTAGCTTGAAAATTCACATTTTACTTTAAAGAATCAGGTACCAAAATTCTTGTTTTCATGCCTGTAAAGAATGATAATTTACTCCAAGGCATGTCACTTCCTTACCTGTAAAGGGAAATACTGAATGACCAACCTATAATACCTTTTATGTCTAAGATCTTGTGTATTACTTTGTACTTCAATTTATGCATGTGTGTATGCATATCTTACTCATAACTCTAATTTAAACTTTATCTTATTAGCTAGAAGAGGAAAGAGATCTAACCCTGTAAATATAAATTACCCTTGAGACTCTGATATAAAATACTATTCTTACCAAGTACTATAACTGGTGTATACTGAGTGCACTTTTGTGAAACTTATGAGAATGAACGAATAAGAGACTCAGAATAAGCTTGCTAGAGCGAGTACAAGTACAGTAAATTTTCTCTCTCTAATTTGGTATTTAAAAATACATAACATTAAGTTCAACTAGTAGTAGTTGATACATCTCTCCAAAAGTTTGCTAAAAGAATCACGAATTCCAACATTTTATTAAAAGATGAGACTGGAAGTGTATATGTCAGGATCAGGGTCATGCTCAGGGTCTTCCTCTCATAGGTTACAAGGAGCCAGTGAAAAGTTTTTGTTTTTTAAGTAGCTCATCTTATTACTTAAAACAACTTGTTTTAAGTAGTCTATTAATCCGCCCACTGTTTCCATTAACATTTATTCCATGTAAACACATGAACTCAAATACGGGTACCTTCTGCCATTTAGAAACATCATCGTTCAGCATATGTACCTCTAAATAAGAATGAGTCAATGCCCATCTATAGAACCAGCCACTGAATATGACTTGTCAAAAGCAAAGTGTAATCTGAAATGCAAAATATAATCCCCTTGGTCCAGAATCCATGTGACTGTTCTTGCATTATTGTTCTTATCCCAAACAAGCAATTTGGCAAAATTCAAGTAAGCAAAAAATTACATCACAAACGGAGGTAACCTATTGTAAGTGATATGGAGGTTTTGATTTTAGATATGAGTCCAGAGAAAAGCTTAGTCTCAGGCGGGAATGGCTACTTCCTGTAATCTTCCACTGTGAGACTAATTATTTTTTATGGAGAAAATCATAAAAATAGAATCAGATGAATTTTGCTGCCATTAGTCTAGAAGTTACCTCAAGAAACCAAATGGTATGATGTGCTTCCTGACAATTCTCTTAGCTAGTCTGAAGTCACAAGTACATACTGGGTCACTGGTACCAGAATGTAGTAATTTCTCTTTTCTCATAAAATTGAAAGTCTAATATATCAAAGAAGATGATTCTGAAATATTGGGATCCATTTAGTAATCTATCCTAGTTGCCAATTCAAGACACATCATTCTCAAGACAAATCCAACTGGAAGTTTTGCCCTGTAAGAATTGAATGAAACTAGTAACGCGACCACATCATGGACACAAATGCACCGACTAGCCCTTTACCCTGTGAATTCAGGATATCCCTGTGAATACTCTCATATCTGAACTTGCTCAATAACCTTCCCTCACCTGCATCACTATTGCTGGGGAAAAATGACTAACCTGACCCAGTAGAATACTTCCAGACTCCAACTGAGTCTCCTGGTTGTTTAACCACAAAACTGCACTGAACATGAAACTTAATCTCCTTCCAGTGCTACAACCTGAGCTCCATACCTCTTTTGCTAAGTAAAGTAAGTGATGCAATGATTGATCATGATTGGTGAAAGGAGAGTTTCTCTCACTGTTATTTCCTTGGAATCTTCCTTTTCTCTGGAAGGTTATCATCGTGTGAGAATGCACACATACTCACTTTGAAGAATCCTACTTATCTCAGATCTCCATGCAGGCAACAATTTTCCAAGTAACCCTGGTACAGCTTGTTATTTGTTTCATAATATTCATCTGCTCTTCCTCCTGACTGGCGTAAATACTGTATTTCCCAACCTTCTTTGTGGCTAGGCATGACTACGTGACTAAGTTCTAGAATATAAATGGAAGTGGTATGAGGAATATCTGAAAAGTGTTCTATAAGTAAGGAGCATGCTCTTCTCCCTTGTCCTCCTGTCTGCTGTTGGAATTGAACATTAGGTGTAAGTAGTTATCCTGGACTATGTGGTGACTTTAAACATGAAGGTTACCACACACAACTCAGTAACAAGAAAGCAGTTCCTGACATGTTGTTCTGTTTGTCTACCTCTAACTGTTTTATGTTGGAGCAAAAAAAAAATTCCTTTGAACCATTGCTATTTTGTTTTCCTGCCATTTTGTACCTGAACTGAATTCTATATAATAGATACAGGAGCCTCTGATGTGTTTTCACAATTTTGTGTCTGAAAGCTTCATGAAGACAAAGCTTTCACATGCTTATTCATCTTTATGTCCTCATCACTTTGCACAATGGCTGGCACTCTCCATACAGTGGAATTTTGTTAAATAAGTAAGTTAATGTTGATTAGGGTCACTGCATATACCATCATATCAGCTAATACTCAAGATAAACTCGAATGGCAATTATTTATTTTGTTAATGTAAGAATTATACAAATAAGCAAAGAGATATTACCAAAGAGGTATTGGCAAAACTATATGAAATAAAGCACAGGAAGTACTTGATACAGAATTATGAAATTAATCACATATTCAGATGCTCAGGTGCTATGTAAATATGAGAGGGCGATGAAGTGACACCTAGCCAACCTACAATGTTCCTGAGAGCGGTGTACTAGCAAGGCATTGTAATAGGAGTTGGGGATCCAGCCTCATGATGTAT